TGGGGACAGGGCTGGCCTGGCACAGGTCTGTGTGTGTGCGGTTTGGGGACAGGGCTGGCCTGGCACAGGGCTGTGTGCAGCCTGGGGACAGGGCTGGCCTGGCACAGGTCTGTGTGTGTGCAGCCTGGGGACAGGGCTGGCCTGGCACAGGGGTGTGTGTGTGCAGCCTGGGGACAGGGCTGGCCTGGCACAGGGGTGCGCATGTTCAAACTAGGGTCTGTGGCTGCCCTTGCACAGGGTTTGCACGCGTGCGCTTGCACAGCGTATGGACTGTGCCTGGCCTCGCACGGGGTTTGTGTGTGTACGAGCAATTGGGGGACAGGGCTGGCCTTGCCCAGGGGTGTGAGCAGGGAGGGACACGTGTGCCGAGTGTGCCGTGCTCTCCCAAAGACCATGCTTGTCTCCCACGTGGCCGGTGAGCAGGCGAAGACGCGAGGTCCCCGCTCCGCCATCAGCAGTCCCCGTGACACTGTCCCGTGCTTGCTTAAGGCAATGAAACATTGACGTGTCGACCTCCGGTGCGATGGCAACGTTGGGAACGGCTCCGTGACCGGTGTTGTAGTTCAATAACAGATTTTTGGCTCAGTTTTAACCTCACATAGGGTATAATGGTATGTATTTACTTATTTTTTTCCTTCCAGGCTAATTCGGGAGGCTTTAACCATAAATTAGTCAGTGAGATGGACTTGCAAGTGATTTTGGGAAAATACAGGAGAGGAAACAAAACTACTTTTAAATGTATAAAGCGCCTGCAATAGTCCTTCGTGGACTTTGCGGAAACTTTTTTTTGTTGCTTTTGTACTTCAGAATGTTTGTGGTTCGAAGCTTTTAATAAAAGCTCGCCCTCGCTGCGTGGTACAATTAACCTGCAGCATCTGGCGCCGGAGTAGACTTTGCTGGGGAAATCTTGTGTTTCCACTGAACTGCTCAGTGTCTTTGTGTGCATATCAAAAAGCAGAGGCTTTGGAAACCTAGAAGTGCGCTTTCATTCTTCCACCGTGACACCGAATACACGCTGCAAAACTTCTGGTTGTTTGCGTTGGAAATATTCCGTGACACTTGCAGCTCGAGCTGCGTCCTCGTGTCTGGGAGCGCTGCGTAAACAAGCGGTCGTCTGTTTGCAAACCCGAGGATAACACGTGCGTGGGGTGGTGGCCTGAAGTTTTGCTCTTTGTGCTTCATTTTGCTCAATCCTAAATTTTTAGTGGCTGTGCATATTTTTATTTTTTATTTTTTACTTCACTGTGCGTTAGGCTGGACTAACCTAAGAGGGTTTTTTTTTCCCCCTTTTTTTTCTTCATCCAGTAGCAATAAGGTTAATCTTTTATCCAGCATTTTACCCCTTTTTCCAGGCTGGTATTTCCCTTTGCAATGGGTCTGTGAATACGCAATGCCCCATCCTGCCTTGTTGGTCTCTGTATTGCCTTGGTCTAGGAGCCGATGCAGACGGTTCAGGTCTTTAAATCACCGATGTTTCAGGCCAGCCGCTGTCTGGCCCCTCGGTGTCTTCCTACTCTGCCGTCTTCTCCTGCTGTGACGTCCTTTTCCATCTCATCTCACCTCCAGGTCGGTCTCTGGGTTTTTTCTGGGGTGCTAATGGTGTGCTGATTCCCTCTCTCCAGCCATCAGCCGAGCAACAAATAACCCCTGTCGCTCTCTCCGAAGCCTCCCGCCTTGCTGGTTTGATTGTGTGTATTAATGCAATTAAAAATTAGCTCAACCGCTGCTGATGTGGCTTTGATGGACATTGGAGAGGCTGAGCAGTGCAACCACGCGTCCTGCTGCAATCCGAGCTCCCGGTTCAGATCTCCATCCCCGTTTGCTCCTGCCGTCGTGTCTAAAACAAGACTGAACTTTCAGATACGATGTCTCCCGCCTAGAGGAGTATTGGCAATGGCTTGGTTCAGAGGAGTTTTGCGCTATAACGCTGTGCTGCTGCGTTTTTCCTGGCATCCAGGGTTGCCTCTGTGCGACGACTGCAAGTTCTTTAGCTGAGGTTGGCTACAGAGACTGGTAGAACAGAGATTTTAATGTCAAGGTCTTTTACTCCCATCCTCTCTTGTGCAAGAAACCTTATTCCTTTTCCCACAACTTGCTTATTTTTTGTTTTCTTTTTAAATTTTTTTAACATTTATTTTAAACCTCTTGTCATTTGCTCCTCACCACACGACTCTCCAATGTGACCAGGTCTCCCAGCCAGCAAGATGCCTGCTCTGAGGGTGGAGGAGAAATAATACTTCTGTGTCTTGATAAATTTGCACATCAATATTACAGCACTTAAAATCTAATTTTAAAAAAAAAAAAAGTAGGCGAGCTGAAAATGAATGAGTCTGTGCTTCCCCTTGCTTATAAATATATATCAAATGGTATTTTGAACTGCTGGTTCTTCTGGGAATTCAGGGATATTTAAATAGCAAGTGTGAAAGGGTAAATAATATCAAGATAAAAATAATTCTTTCGATTCCCTGCCTGTACCATAAACACATTCTGCTAGATGAAAATGGAAAGAACTTTTAAAAAATCTTATTTGCTTCTCCCATCTTCGTTATTTTCCTTCCGACACTTCAGTTAGTTTGGGTGGTGGGGTGGCTCTCGCTTGGCTTTTTATGGGCCTTCTGAGGGTTGCTGGTGCTGCAGGGGACCGTGTAACTCCGTGACACCTGAGGGCTTTGTGTGGGCAGGAGGAGCCTCTGCCCGTGTTTGATGTAGGGTTGGAGTCGTCATCCTCAGGGCAAAGGCTGCTTGCACTGGGAAGGACTTGTGCATCCAGGTCTGATTCCCATGAGACCGGATGGATGGATGGATGGATGGATGGAGGACGAGGTCTTTCCACTGGAACGTGGTTGGTGGTGTCTCCCTGACCATAAGAGCGGATGTGTTTGCCTACGGCATGATCCATTTGGTCTAAATTTCATCCAGATTTTTAAGCATGAGCTTAACTGGCAAAATGAAGTATCAGAGTGTGCCTACACGCTGGTGCTTGCTGGGGGAATATTGCAAAACTCCTCCTCCAGCAGCATCACCAACCCTTCAAATTTCATTTTTCTTTTTCAGCATACTTTTTGACACGTGCAAGTAAAATCTGGCCGCAAACTTGTGTTGGCGTTGCCAGCCGTGGCGTTAAGTGTTGCAAGGATGAAGGGAGGCTCATGCCCATTGCTTGATGTTGAGTGCCCAAAAAGCTACGTACGAAATTCATGCTATCGCCCTACTGCGAAGGAGCGTGCGTCCTTTTCCTGTCAGGAAGGTTATTTGTGGTTTTTAATAATACACTGTGTTTCCAAAGAATATGGTCAAGATAAAAATCCCACTCTCTCTTTTTTTTTTTTTGCTTGCCTTGCAAATGATGGTATGTAAGATTAAAATAATGCAAAAGAGTTAAATTAATCTGATTTAACACTTGCAGGGAGGTTTCTATTTAAAACTCTCCTTTTTCTTCATAGTGTCACTAGTCAGGAAATTCAGTAGGCAGGTGCCATCTCTTTGTTGCAGTGCATGGGCACGTCTCTGCTTTTCAGTGTTTCTGATGATGGAAAAAATAGCATTTAACTAAAAAAAAAAAAAAAAAGAAAAAACGGGCAGGATGGATTATTTATTTTTTTTTCCATGACCGTTTTGCTTGTAGCGCCATTAGAAAGCGAAGATTGCATTGGTGATCCGTTGCTTTTTAAAATATATTCTGAAAATGAGTACAAAAAAAAGAAGAAATGGTGTATCAGCAGGTGTTTTTTAATGGTCGTGTGCTGGGATGCGGAGCTGTGGGGAAAAGCTCTCCCAAGGGCAGTTGAGGTGTGTTGGCTACTCATCTGCTGGGATGCTGCAAGCAAAATCTGCAAAACATTTTCCAGCTTCTCCTTGAATGAAGTCGAACTTGGCTGCAATGGCAATACTTACTTTTATTTAGTAATGTACTTTTTTTTTTTTTAAAGCAAACACTCGTATTGGGTCAGGCTGCGATTTCTTCGCTCTCTCTGTAATCTTCCCTAAATAAAAGCAGAAAATAACTGCAAAATGGTTTATGCTCTTCATTGTGTAGTGTTTGTTTTGTTCTTGTTCCGCTATCACCCCTGCTGCAAAGCCACATGTTGCAAAAATGGGATCTTTTTTTTTTGAGGTTATCGGGGACTTTATTTGTCCTCCTTCCCCTGCTGCATACATTTATTATGATTATAGTCTTGAATAACTTGGCCATGTATCTCTCCCCCCCCCCCCCCCCCCAGGCCCCCCCCTTAATTTTTACATCTGGTGCATGGAGTAAAGGAGTGCAGGAGACAGCTGTGCTGTAGGATTTTATTCCAACCCTGTTGTGCTGTAGGTGGCCGTAGTCCTTATTTCTGTAAAATTAAACGTTTTCTTCTTCTGTAAGAGACTTTGATTGCGCTCATTGCTGAAGTTTGTTGCTTTTTTTTTTCAGTTTACAATGAATCTTCTTGTGGTGCTTTTGCATGAAGAAGGGAGATGCCTCCTTCATTTTTCTGCATGTGAAAACCAGGCAGATTTGGAGGTGGTGTGACCCAAATTTCTGGATTAACTCATTTCGTTGCTGTGTGAGATGCCAGAGACTCGAATATGGTACGAGGGAACCCCCAAACTTGCTATTAATGGCTGCTTTGTAAAAAATCTCGTATGAACAGATTGCTCAGGAGCTCTGTGGTGGAGGTATATACTGCCATGAACACTGTTTTTCTTAATTTTTCTTTTTTTCCCCTGAAATTCCCTTATTTATTTACCAGCATGTGATGTCTCATGACTGTGACCACAATCCGCACGCGATGGTGCTCACTGTGCAGCTCACGTCCTCCAATTTTGGGGTGTCTTGGGGGGGAAAACTTCTCCCGGGCTGTTTGGGGAAGGCTTGGACGATGTCTCACCAGGTTTGTGAGCTCTGCAACGGCGGCTTCGAGTTTAGGCAGAACTAACTTTTGGGTTTGGGGAAGGTCCAGTCTGTGCTCTGCAAAGGCAGAGTTTTCCATGCAAACACCACCACCTCTCATTGAAATTTCCCCCTTCGATTTAGTCCTTGGTTAGATAACCAGTATTGAGATTTTTAATGTGAATAGTTTGTTTGGAAAACATATTAGTGGCTAAAAGAAGGGCTTTTTATTAGAGGGAGCAGTGCTTGCAACTAACTGTAGATAACTGCAATTATGTTTGAGCTGAATTATTAGCAAATGCTTTGCAGCATCCCATGTCCCAGCCCGGAGATGTTTGTTATGCTCTGAGTTCTTCTAATTTTGGAGAGGGGAGAAAAAAAAACCCGCTGCCGTGCATCTGTGTGGTGATGGGGAGGGTCAGTGATGCTGCAGGACCGGTCGATGACCCTGTGACTTGCAGGGTAATGCCTTGTTTAATATAACATTGTACATGTCAGATTTCCTTCGTTTGCTATTTATTGCGCTTCATCCGCCTGGAAACGGGAGCTGCAGACAGCGATCCCTTGAGTTTGCGTAATTTTGCCGTTGCTTCTGTTGAAGCATCCCTTTTCTGACATGTGGGCTTGATTTTTTTGAAGGGGGATAATGGAGATTATTTGCTAACAATGCTAGTTGTGCACAGGCACTGTTCAACATCCCGCTGGTGATCGAAAGTCCCTCTTTGTCCCTTCTATTTG